TGTGCTGTTTTAACAACTGAGCTCATCAGTCTCGTTTACGCTGATTTATTAAACGATATTTCTGGTTAAGCTTTCATCAGGTGGAGGAAATGCTTCTGCAGGTCAGTGAATTTATCCGGTGACACCCGTCAGGCCTCCAGGGCTGCATTTATGATCAAGTCCATCTAAAATCAGGTGAATCTGAGAAACTTCCCACCTTTGCTTTTCATATGCATCAACATAAGGATCCTTGTGTGGATAAATCCACTGTTTTTAAAGCTTAGCTGCACAGGTGCTGTGCTTCAGGGCTCCTCTTTGTGGTTTGTTTTGTTTATGTTACTGAATATAACCCCACGAGATGTCTTAGCTGGCTGGATTCAGACTTGTGCTGATATCATGAGAAGTCTGGAAAACCCTCTGACATCATTTAAAACCCGCTGACACAGCAGCACGCAGTTTTCCAGAATGTCTGTGCGGTGAGGTCATTTAACTCCGCGGGCCGGTTTCCTCAAAGTCTCCGACTCTGGGCCTTTAAAGGGAGGTTTGTTTGGGAAGCAGAGTGTAAGGAGCATAAAAGGAGAGGAGAAAACTTCCCCCTGAATAGTTTTGACTTCTTTTTCCATCTCAGAGTCTCTTGATTTTTCCAGCTTCACTTCCAGCTGCCTGGTTTGAGAAGGCGCGCCCTCATCACCGGGCGGATTGAAACCACGCAGCTGTGTGTAATTACACTTTATGTGCTGCTGTGTGGGATTTAAAGCCCAAATCATTCAATCACACCCTGCACATGAGCGCTGACTCCCTCCAACAGAGCAGCGTCTGTTGCACCGTTACTCTACTGACCTCCTCCTGCACACAGCTCCTCAACAGACCAACGTTTGCCCTCCAGTGTCTCATAATAAATATAATTAGTGTTATCATAGCAGTGATGCTGTGAACTACTCGTCATAAAAACTAATTTAAGTTTAAGCAACAAGAACTATGTGGTTACATCAGATAAAATGATAAAAAGCAGCTCACATGTCTGAAATGTAACCTTCAGAGCAGCATGAACCTTTCAGCTCACTGCAGTACAAACACTGACTTCATCATGTGACTGTACTGTAACTGTACAGGAAGTAAGGGAGCCAGAACAGGTCTGTGACTATCAGCTGGAAACTGGATTTATGGTCTGTTGCTACGATTCCACCGGGAAAATAGATCCTCTGAAGGGTTTCAGAAGTCCTGAAATGAAACACAAAGAAGTTGTATAAATATCACAGACAGCGAAGCGCGAGGAAGTGAGCGCTGAGGTAAAACAGATCTGAAAGCTGATACGAAGCGACGAGTGTAAACACAGGGCTAATTGAAACTAATAAGGGCAGAACGAGGAAAACAAAAGTCCAAAATAAAACAGGATGTGTGAGGACGAGGGATCGTTGTGACCCGAGCCGACAGGTCGTCACTCTTTGTCCTCGTCTGCTTTTGTCTCATCTAAACAGCTGCTGAAGTGAATCAATCACAAACCCTGACGCTAAACGAACACACTGACACACAAGTTTGTGCTCTTTACTCTGAAACAATATGAAAAAGCTGATTCAGCATTTAAAAACACACGTATACTAAACACGAGGGTTACAGGTGGAGAGGGCCTCACTCGAAGCTAATGAGACTAAAACACACGTTTTCAGAGTCTCTGCACTTTAACTGACATCTGCTTTCTTTTTATTCGTCTCTGGCTTCCTTTAATCCGTCTGAACACGTGACGCAGCTCTGGGTTCATGCAGGTTTCCTCTTCCCTTGTCAGAAAAAACAACGCGGCACTTTCAAGAAGCCAAATCATCTGATTTCTAACAAGCTTGAGCTGAAATAAAAACCCAGCATGCGTCAGACAAACAGGAAGCGGCTGTGCTGCTGTTTGTGCTTTCTCTCTTCTTTCTCAGCTTTGAGTTCCTTCATTCTTATTCAGATGTGCGTAAACAACTTAACACATCATGCAACATGTAAGCTGTACTGCAGGGTCCCCAATCCCAGTCCATGAGGGCCGGTGTCACTGCAGGTTTTAGATCACCCTGGGTCAACACACCTGAATCACATGATCAGTTCATTACCAGGCCTCTGGAGAACTTCAGGACATGTTGAGGAGGTAAGTTAACCATTTAAATCAGCTGTGATGGATCAAGGACGCATCTAAAACCTGCAGGGACCTGCCCTCGTGGACTGGGATTGGGGACCCTGCTGTACTGGATCACGGTGTTTCTCACGGTCATTACTGGCTGCACAGCTCAGTGTCCTTTAATCTCATCAGTAACAAAGCCTCTTATCAGTTGCAGTACTGTTTTGACACTGCTTGAGGTTTTCCTGTTTTCTTGCAGGGTGTGAGCCTCTGCATGACACACGAATGTTTCACAGTCTGTCAGTTTCAGTTTCTTTTCAGGCATCAATGTCCAAACGCGTCGTTTTCAAGGAGAAATTGGGTGAAAAAAGCAACCAAATCTGGAAAAAGGAGCTTTGATCGATTTAAAGTATCTAAACTGTGAATCTGAGCCGTGAGCGGCAATCATGAGTGTTAAAATACAACAGTGATAGAAAAGTAATGAGACACAGAAGGAATCAGGGCTGGGATCTTTCCTATGCTTTAACCCAGGGGTGGAGAACTCCAGGCCTCGAGGGCCGGTGTCCTGCAGGTTTTAGATCAACACACCTGAATCACATGACTAGTTCATTAGCAGGCCTCTGGAGAACTTCAGGACATGTTGAGGAGGTGAGTTAGCCATTTAAATGAGCTGTGTTGGATCAAGGACACATCTAAAACCTGCAGGACACCGGCCCTCGAGGCCTGGAGTTCAACACCTGTGACCTGAAGCTGCAAATTTGGCTGCAAATTTTCAGCCCAGAAAATTTCATGTAGATATCGCCTGTAGTTACGGGACTTAAAAATGCTAAAAGCATCGTGTATTTTCATGACCTGTAATTTCGAAAATATAAAAAGTACTGAGGTTAAATTTTGCACGCCTTAGTTATAAATACCAAAGTTAGCGTAGCAATAAAACCAGCTTTTATTGGCTCTGTGAGTCTACAGCTTCATATCTGACCTGCTCACTTTGAATTGAGCAAACATGAGCTTCGACTTCACAGAAAGTCGAAGCTCATGTTTGCGTTTCTCATAAAACAGAAAAACATATTTCTCAAGAACTCGCGCAGCACTGTGGTCAGTGATGGTTTTGAAATCAACCCGACATGTTTGTTTTTGAGGGTTTGTGTTGCTGGTTTTATGTAACTGCAATAACTACAGTCCACTCGAAAATTCAGGGTTGATTTGATGTATTTCAAGTCAGATTTTGAGGGAAATATTAATTTGTTTAAAGCTTTTGCATAAAAAGAACTGCAATTGAAAGCAATTAAAGCCCCACCATCAGGCCCAAAATGATTATTCTCTGTATGAATAAATATGGAACTGCTTCAGTTTTATATTTGTCACATTTTATGGACCCGCCCTGAGCAGCAGGGCCCCAAAAGGAAGCACAGAGCTGATTTTAGACAGAAATGTAAACTTTGATCCGAGGCCTTTGATTGTTCAGCATCCCTGCTAAACATGCTGACGAGTCCAGAGTCTGCAGCCTGAACTCTCAAACATCAAAGGATCAGAAACAGACGGCCGGGAAACAGGAAACTCGTCCAGTAATAGTTTCCTCCGGAGTTTAATTTTAGAGTGAGAACTCAAACATCCCATACGGTCACTGTGGGCATTAGCTGGTCTTTAACCTCCCAGCACCAACGATGTGAGAAAGAACAACGCTGGACAACGTCCAGGTCGTCCTCTTGGTTTTTCTGTTGTGCTTCTGTCGCTCAGGTCGGTGGAGGCGAAGCCGCTAACGTACGTGGAGCTGTGAGTGACAGCTGTTCACTTTAAGTTTCACAAACGGATAACTTATTAAAATAAAATCACCTCTGGACAGTTTCTATAAAGCAATTAAATGTACAGATGTGGTACAGATGTGCATGGGAATCCATGAGAGGTGACTAACCTTTAGGCCCAGCCTCTAGTGGACGTTAGAGGAACTGCACCGTTCAGCGTTGTCTTTGTGAAAACAGTGAGATCTATTTTTCTTTACTACAACATACAGATGAGATTTAAGGATGTAATCACATAATAATAATAATTTAAATATGTAATTTTAATGAGTAACTATCAAAAGAGAAAAATAAATGCAGTTTTAGTGTTAAATGCTGGATTTAATTACACATAATATATACAGTACAATGTTAGACATGGATATTATGCAGTTCATTAATACCTGAAGATGGGTGCACACATTAACACTGCATTAAATCAGGATTATAAGAATCACAGTGTGACCTGAACACTACGTCGGGGGCGACTTCATTCGTTTACATCCTCCTCCAGAGGACAGAGGCAAAGCTCTGGGATATATGCCGTCTAAGTTCACTGACATAAATAGTAAAAACTAAAGAAAGAAGTCAATCCCAGCTCTTCAAACAGTCAAAATATTCAGTTTGCTTCAAAATAGGAGAAAAGAAGAAGAAAATCCTGACAGATATGAATAAAAATGGGTCTTAACGACTGATCGGGCTGAGTTTAGTGGGTCTGTGTAGCAGAATGGGACGTTAACGTACGAGGAAGTGTTTTGAAAGGTGACACTGTGACCTGTTCTGTTAAACCGGAGGAGCTGAAGTCATCGAAGGAGAAAGAAGGAATGTTTACAGAGGAGGAAGAGGAGGAGGCGTCCAGTGCAATGAGCCGAACCGCTTCTGGGAAGAGGCGGAGGTGTTTTGGAAAGATTCAAAGTGAAGCTCACATGTAACGACCGTCAGCTCAGGGAGGTCCACAGGTGTTAGCGGCTCGCCGTCTTCAGCTGCTCGTGTTGCTGCCCTTCGTTTGCTCTTTCTTCTCAGGCTTCACAAACACACACAAAAAACCCATCAGGTGATGAAAACAGCAAAGCGAACACATGAAAAGCATCCGCCGCTGACTCACCTCCTTCTTGCCAAACGGTGGATTTTTCCACAGAGTCTCCAGAGCGGCGCGGCCCTGCTGAGTCCAGGTGTACGCCGAGTCTCGACTCGCCTGCAGGAAACACATCAGCTAAACGCAGACGCACAGATAGAAAAGGATCTCTGACGCTGACGTTTGGTCGCTGCTGAATTTTGTTAGAATTATAAACGGCCTGTTTTTGTACAGCGCTTTACACAACATTCAGTCATTCACACACTGGTGATGGCAGCTACAGTGTAGCCACAGCCACCCAGAGGCGAGGTTGCCACCGGGCCCTCTGACCACCACCAGCAGGCAACGGGTGAAGTGTCTCGCCCAAGGACACAACGACCGAGACTGTCGCAGTCGGGGCTCGAACCGGCAACCTTCCGATTACAAGACAAACTGCCAACTCTTGAGCCACGATCGATAACAAGAATATCAAATTTAATTGTAATACGAATGATTCATTAATTTATTAATGATTTATTTCCAGGCTTCAGCCTTTACCGGACAGCAGAGTGGGCAGGCCCACACAGGAAATGGTCCGGGACTCGAGCCTCTGATGTAAGCGTCACCTGCTCAGCCATGATGGCGCCCCCATCATTATCACTGAACTCAGAAAAAGAGCATTTCCTTGAATGCATTTCCTCTCTGCCATTAGCAGCGAAACTGAGCTCATCATGTCGTCCTTTGGTTAATATTTAACAAATGTTACAGGCACTGCAACCCAGGAAGGAGAGAAGACTTCACATGTGATTCAGAGGCTACACCGACGTTATTACAGTGAACTTAAACCAAAGCTAGAGAGAAACATTATTTTTAACTGAAATCAAAATAAAACCAGACTTTTTAAAAAGCAATAAAAGACTTTGTGCACAGAAAGAACCATGACGACACAAAGTGTTTGCCCACTTCCTGATTTAAAATATATATTTGTCACACGTGCACATTCAGATCAGCAAATGAATTTTAATATTAGTCAGATAAGAAAAGCTGAGTTAATACAAAAGGCAGTTTTTAAATGATAATTTTATTTATTAAGGGAAAAAAGTCAACCAATCCTACGCGGCCCTAACAACCGGTCGTGTGTCTGTGAAGCTTCTCAGTCATCCAGGTCATCGTAGTCTAAGGAGCTTGGACAGAAAAGCGTCTGAAGCTTCTTGGATCAGAGGTGAAACGTCTTCAAGCAACTTAAACAAGTCCAGACGCTTTTCTTTCCAAGCTCCTTACACTAATAACCGGCTGTCCCACCTTCAGCTGCAAGAACTGCAGTCAGCCTCTGTGATAACTCAGTGAGTTTGTCCACGTCACTGTGGACGACCACAGTGACGTGGACAAACTTGGTCCACTCTTCTCTGCAGAATTGTGTAAATTCAACCACACTGGAGGACGTTTGAGCATAAACAGCCTGTTTAAGGTCACACCAATGATCTCAGTTGGATTTCAGTCCAAAACTTTCATTTGACTCTAACGTTTGATAAACAGATTAATGCTGTCACCAAGTCCAGCTTCTTTCACCTTTGACTACTTACTGAAGTGAAGCTCTGTTTGAGAGACTTTGAGAGAGCTGTCCATGCCATCTTTTGTAATCGTTTTTACTCCGGTGTCATGAGTCAGTCGACTGCAGCGCGGTTACTAACTGGCACACGCAGCCGAGACCACATATCTCCCGTACTGGCATCCTTGCACTGGCTGCCAGTTAGCTTTAGAATTCATTTTAAGATTTTATTATGTGTTTTTAAGGCGTTGCGTGGGTTTGCACACTCGTACCTTTCTGATGTTTTGCAAGATCACTGAGGCCTGTGGATCAGAGGCTCTTAGCTGTCCAAGGTCCAGATTAAACACAGAGGACACCGGGCCTTTGCTGTGACTGTTCGTTCACATCATTGGACACTTTCAAAACCCATCTGAAAGTCCACTTTTACTCCATGGCTTTTAAATCAGAAGGAGTTTGTACTACTTTTATTTATCTTACTTCTTACTCAAATCTTCTAATTTTATGATTCTTTTTAACTTTTATCATGTCTCCTTATCTTTTATTTCTTTGGTTATCTTAATTGTACAACATGTGTTGTTTTAAATATACTATATAAATTTGACTTGCTCACCGTCCTGCTGCAGAACCAAAGAGCTCCTGAGCTTCAGGGTTGGAACTGCTGGTCGGACATTCTCCTTCAGGACTTTCTGGTACAGATCAGAATTCACGGTTTCATCAATTACAGCAAGTCGTCCAGGACCTGAAGCGGCAAAGCAGGCCCGACCCATCACACTATCACTGTGTTTGACTGTTATGGTGATGTTCTCCTCACCCAACACTACAGGACACAAAGTTCAACTTTGTCAGTCCACAGAATATTTTTGTTGGGGGTCATTCAGACGTTTCTTCTTTTTTTTAAAACTATATTTTAGACATTTGTGAGCCGTTCTGTTTGGTCAGCAGTGCTTCTTGTCTTGGATCTCTCCCATAGATGCCATTTCCCCCCCACCAGTGTCTTTCTTATCGTTGAATGATGAACTCTGACCTTAAGTGAGGCCTGCAGTTCTTTGGATGTTGTTCTGGGTTCTATTGTGACCTCATGGAGTCAGGCAGACTACTGGGAAGGTATGATAGCTCTCCCAGTGGTTTACTGGAATCTCAAAGCCTTTGTAACTGGACTGATAGCTGTCAGTGACTTTAGATGGTGACATGATGAGTTGCTTTTTGAGATCTTTAGGATGTTTTTTCCTTAATAAATTAAACCATCATTTAAAAACTGCCTTTTGTTTGTTGATCTGAAGCATGTACGTGCGACAAAAAGAGCTTTTACTTCCTAACGCAGCCCCAAAGGGATCTGCGTCTCCTTCCAGGATCGAACCAGGGATGGTTCACTTGCTGTGTGACGTATAAACCACTGTGGAGGGAAAATAAAAACATCCGGGTCTGTGGTTTTGATTGGTCGCGCTCCTCTTGTTTGCATTTTAATCAGCGAGACGCTGCAGCAGCTTGAAATAACGACGTGACTTTCTGGAGACAACTTTGCGGTCGCCTGTTTAAACTTCTTCTGATCTGATACGAGCGCTGACACGGAGACTTTTTCTGCCCGGCGACACGATCTGCATCACCGAGGAGGAAGCAGCAGACTGGCCAGTGTAAAAAGTGACATGGCTGTATGGTCAGCGGTGACATCACAGTCCTGGTTTCCTGTTTTCATTTCATTTAAAGCTCAGCATCAGGTTTTCATGAATCTGAACATCACTGGAAACGTTACAGACATCTCCTGAGTGGACTCTGACACACTTATTTTAAGTCGTGAGATCAGATGTTTTCACATCCTCACCGTGCCTCCGTTTCACTTCTGCATGTGTTACAGCTGTGTGCATCTGCCCGGGCGTGCCTCTGTCTCGCTCGTGTGAAGGAAACAAAGTGATTAAAACCACCCAAGTGGAAATTAGAAACACAATTCACAGCCCGGGCTTCCTGCACGGAAACACAACCCTTTCCGAACAGGAAACGCGTCACAGATCAAACGCACAACGTGTTTACGAATGATCCCTGGAAAGATTTCATCTGGGATTCGTCCGTCAGAGCTGCGCTGATAACGTTTAGAAAGTCAGGAGGTTAATTTCCTCGGTGGAACAAATTTATTTGTGGCTAAAAATTAAAATAACTGAAACAAGCTGGCAGCTGTTTCCTGCCTGCGTGTCAGCGCTGTGGGAAATATTACAGAAAACTAAACCTGAGTTTGAATGTTTTTGTCTGCATCAGGTGAAGCGTTCACACTGATTCAGTAAACGCAGCAACAGTTGTTCCTCAGTGTGAAACAGCTTTTTATATTCACCAAGCAGCTCCGTAAGTTAGCAGACAGAACTGTTTTCATCATATTTATCATGTTTTAACAGTACGTGGCGTGGGCAGATGTTAGCCTCTGGACACGAGGACAGTCAGAGACTTAAATCAACCGGAAAAGACCAGGCGAGAGACTCTGAGTGATCCAGGAGCTACGATCCTCCCCTATCAGCTCTAATTAGCATCTGTGTGATCCATCTGCAGTGCCGACACGTCTGGCTCCGAAAAAGCATCATGGACGAGGCTGAGACGTCCGAGTCGAGGCTACAAGAAGCCAATCAGGGTGTTTATGACCATCTTTTAGATACAGTCTATGTTTTTGTCACAAACAGTCACACTCAGACACTGTTCTGCTGTGTGCACATAAACACACACCTTCAACACGGTCGCAGCCTGCTGAGGGTAAAACATGGAGGCGCTCAGGGCCATGAGGCCAACTGGGAACACCAGACGCTTCAGCCTGGAGCCTGTGGGGGGAGAGAG